TAGGTGGTACTAGAATTTGTAGTAGTAGTAGTGCTAAAATTAGTAGTAGTAGTACTGGAATTAGTAGTAGTAGTAGTACTGGGATTAGTAGTACTAGTGCTAGAATTAGTAGTAGTATTACTAGTAGAATTAGTAGTACTAGTGCTAGAATTAGAAGTAGTTTATTACTAGTGAAACTACAAAAACTTAGTAGTAAAATTACTAGTATAAGTACAGAAACTTAGTAGTAAAATTACTAGTTAAAGTACGGAAACTTAGTAAAATTACTAGTTAAAGTACGGAAACTAAGTAGTAAAATTACTAGTTAAAGACCGGAAACTTAGTAGTACAATTACTAGTTAAAGTACGGAAACTTAGTAGTAAAATTACTAGTTATAGCACTGAAACTTAGTAGTAAAATTACTAGTTAAAGCACTGAAACTTAGTAGTAAAATTACTAGTTAAAGCACGGAAACTTAGTAGTAAAATTACTAGTAGTAAAAGTATTAGTAGTAGTACTATAATTAGTAGTAATCTTACTGCTACTAGCATCTAAATCATGCCATTTGAGAAGTCTATCACTGCACCATAGTCACTTGCAGGTTGAATACAACCAAAAGGTTGTGAGATCTGTGACATATTTGACATTTGGGACAAAGTATTAGTATTAGAAGTGGGATTTGGAATGAGCTCATTACCATCAACCCRAACTAATTGTGAGATAATGACAYYACCCTTGGACYGCAAGATGAATTGTTCCACTGCTTCTACTTCAAACAGTACATTCTTATTGACATCACATGGCTTGCCCTCTGCCTTCAACAAAGTGCATTCAACAAGAACAYGTAGGTTGTCAGCAGAGACAAACCGGTTGTGTATTACAATCCCTCTGGTACCGTTTCCAATCTCATGGATTACCTCTGAAGAATGTCTATCTAGAGGAAATGGAGAAATTGCATATGCTGATGTGATGCAACGCATCTGCTTGACAAAGTCTAGCCTCTGGTTGAATTGCTCCTTGTTCCGGGTCAGAATGRATCCACCCCATGCATTGATTCTTGGGCACCGGAACCCAATATTGTGACCGGCACCTCTACAAAAACTGCAAGCTTTTGTTTTGTTGGTTGTGCCTGTCACAGGGACTGGAGCT